ACTCCCTCTCACCTGGAATGATCTCCTCTTTCAATTACATCAATTTTTCCCTTTCTATTAGATATATTCAGCCATTCAACTAATATTTGTTGAGTATCTACAGTGTAGCAGTACTAATCTAGTTGAATGAAACAAACAAAAGTCCTTGCCTTCATGGAGTTTATGATCTAATAGGAGAAGCAAAGAAATAAGCAAATAAATATACAATGTCAAATCCATAAAGAAAATTAAAAGAGTAGTAGTATGCGTGACTATAGGGGGTGGAAGAAGCACCAAGGCAGACAGGGATGTTATATAAGATAAGGTGATCAAGAAAGCCTTCTTTCAGGAAGACACACTTAAGATCCGAATGAAATAAGATAGCAAATCATAGTGATATCTGGAAGAAGAGCATTTTAAGCAAAGGGAGCAAAAAGTACAAATGCCCTGGATGAGAATGTACAGAGCATATTCAAAGAACAGCAAAAAGGCCAGTGAGAACAAGGAGAAATGTGGTAGAAGACCAAAATGAGAGATGTAGGCAGAAGACAAACTGTGTAGAGCCTTATAGGCCACAATAAGAAGTCTGGATTTTGAACCAAGTGTAGGTAGACACTGAAGAATTCTGAACAAGAAAGACATGATCAGATTTATGTTTTAAATAAACCATCTGGTTGCAAAGAAAAATAGGCTGCAGGGGAACAAAGGAGAAGCAGAGAGACCATTAAGAAGTTACTGAAATAATCAAGGTGAGAACTGCTGGCAGCTTGGATGGACAGCAGTGGGTAGAGAGTAGTCAGATATACTGCAAAGGCAGATATATTTTAAAGGTAGAGCCAAATGGCTTATTTAGAGATTGGCTGTAGGGTATGACAAAAATGGACAAATCAAAATGAGACCTAAATTTTTTATCTGGCCTGAGAAATACTGGGTGAATATAAACATGCTGTAGTGTCTCCTATTCAAACACACACACACACACACACACACACACACACACACACACGTATCCCTCCCTTAACTCCCACATCCTCCCCCAAACACCACCTATTTTTCACAGCAAAGCTTCTCAAAAGAACTGTATACATACTTACACTACCTCTACTTCCAAGCCTTCTGTCTGTCAACTAACACCCTATCATTTCACCAAAAGTAATCTTGTCTAGGTCACCAACCATTTCCACATTGCCAAATCAAATGATTACTTTTCTGTCCTCATCTTACTCAGTCCCTCAGCAGCATTCAATATAATTGACGACCCTTCTTTTTCAAATGTTCTACTAGCTTGGCTTCTGGAGAAGCACACTTACCTGGCTTTCCTTTTATCTCTTGTCTACTCCTATCTCCTTTCAGATTCCTCCTTCTCCAGTCATCCTCCAAATATCCAAGGGTAGGAACCTCCTCTCTTCAAACACTACACTCTCCCCCAGATGATCATCCATTCCTATGACTTTACACATCATCTATATGTTGATGAAGCCCAAGTTTCTATTTCTGGCCCAAACACCTCTCTTTCAGACTAACAACGTTCTATTAGACAACCCCACCTGCATTTCTCATCAATACCTCAAACCTAACATAACCAAAATGGAATTCTTGGTTTTCTCAGCATTAATCATGAGCATTAATCAGTTTTAATTATATTTGCTTACTTATTACACATTCCCCTCAAATAAACAGTAATCTTCACAAAGGAACAACTAAGTCTGTAGTGTTTACTAATGTATACCTAGCAACTCAACAGGGCTTGGCAAGGCAAGATTTACTAGACCTTGTCTCTTCCCTCAAAAAAACTCACAGACTGATGGAAGAGAGATATATAAATCACAATGACAATACAACATGGTAAGTACCACTATGAGTGGTGAGGCAAGCACACAGGTGCTACAAGAATCCAGAGGAGAGAGCCTTAATAGCCTACTAGTCAGGGAAGAGTTTCTTGAGAAGGTGACATCAGAGTTTATTTCTGCAGGATAACAACAATGATAGCTATTAAGTGCCTACTATATAATTATTTTTAAGCCTTATAAAAACCCTTCAAGGTAGGTATAAATATCTTCCATTTTATATGAAGCTCAGAATGATTAGCAGCCAGGTAGCTAGTAAGTGGTAAAACCAAGATTTGAACTGAGGTCACTCTTATTTTTAAACTCACCCCTCTATTTCTTTGCTACACCGCAAGGTTTCACTAAAAATAATCTCTCTTAGCTTATGTTGCTGTTATTGTTAAGTGCCATCGTAGTTTCCGAGTCATAGCAACCCCATGTGACAGAACAGAACTGCCCCACAGGGTTTTCTAGGTTGTAATCTTTATAGAAGTAGAGCACCAGGTCTTTCTCCCAAGAAGGAGCTGGGTGGGTTCAAACCCCCAACCTTTCCATTAGCAGCTGAATGCTTAACTGTTGCACCACCAGGGCTCCTTTCTTATCTTATAGCAGCCAACTACTATCTGTGTGATCTTAAAACAAGATTGAGCATGGGGCTCAATCACCAGTCCCTAAAGCTTTCTTTATCTAGTCTACTCCTTTTCCTTTACTCATTAAGGATTGAAGCTCAGTTTTAAACTAAGCAGTCAGCAACCCCAGGCATTTCTTTCAGGCTGCAACATCTGAACCTTTTTCAAGGCCTGAAAATGCATTCAGGAACAACTACAGCAATATTGCAGAGCACTTTACAGTTTATAAAACATTTTCATACTCATTATTCCATTTGATCCTCACCAACCCTATGAGATGTTAAATCCCCAATTTACTGAGGCCAATGGAAGTAGAACACCTAGCTTAGCTCCATCTGTTCTCTGGATGCTACAGCCCGCCAGAAATTGAATTTAAGAAAATGGAGGGGGGAGGAAAGAGAGGAAGAGATCAAATGACTCACAGGGAGCTCAACACCAAGCCACCAAAGTGGCCTGGAGCCAGAAGTTAACAGAGACCAAGTCTGCTTCCCTTCCAAGGTAATGAGTGTTTGTCCATTGCACAGCGACCTATCCCATGGAACTTTTCTTTTTTCTACCCAGCAGTACCTAGAGTCCAGCCCAAAAAACCCAAAACCAAACCCGTTGCCACTGAGTCGACTCCAACTCGTAATAACCCTATAGGACAGAGCAGAACTGCCCCATAGGGTTTCCAAGAAGCAGCTGGTGGATCTGAACTGCTGATCTTTTGGCTAGCAGCCGTAGCTCTTAACCACTGTGCCACCAGGGCCCCTCCAGCCCAAAAGGTGGGCAAAAAAGGGAATATAAGAAAACTCTTAAACTGGATGAAGGGACACAGGGAACCTGGGGTGTAAAGGGAAAGGGGGAGAGTGCTGATACATTGCGGGGATTGCAGCCAACGTCACAAAACAATTTGTGTATAAATTTTTGAATGAGAAACTAATTTGCGCTTTCACCTAAAGCATAATAAAATTTAAAAAAAGAAAAAGAAAACTCTTTGTTTACTATATGTACACATGGGGTTAGGAGATAACATGGTATAGAGAATAGATATCACCTTTAAAGAAGATTTGAATTTAGGTTCTAGCTCTGCCTCTGACTTGCTGAATCAAAAGTTCCCTCCTCTACATCACCACAGTCCTTTGTGCTTGCCTCTAAATACTTACCATATGAGGTCACAGGTACACTCTCTGACCTGCACGGGATAGAGGGCAATGACTGAGTCCCATTTCCATTTCTGTATCCCCAGCACCTGACACCATAACTAGCAAAGAGTGGATGGTTCGGAGAATGTTTGATGATGGACACATGCCTTATTCAAAGCTTTTTGTATAGATATACATCTCACATTCTAGCCTAGACAGTGAGCACCAGAAAAACCACAACTTTGTCATTCTCCATCTCTGCTTCCCCTCTCATTCACCTACTTTGGGGACACTACTCAAGAAAAATTTGCTGAGTAGAAATAAACCATTCCAAAAAGCAAGCCTGCAGAGTGGAAGAGAATGAACCTATATGGTCCACTTCCCAGACTGTATTCCTTCCCTTGACACTCCCCTCCACACCCACCCCTACACCCAAATAATCTCTATCTTATCAAGTCACCCTCTTCTTCAAAAGGCCACTGCTCATCTCCCCCAGGACTCCTTCTCTTTCCCAACTCCAACCCTGCTAATTCCTCCTAAGCTGCCACAGGCTTTCCCCTCTTCTTCCCTGGGCTCATGGGTCAACCTCCTTTCCTCAAAGCAATGCCTCAGAGCTGCCAAAGAGTGTTTGGTCCTCTCCCAGTCACTCATCTCACTAACGGGAGTTTGAGCCTCTGTCCAGCCCTACTGGACACTCTTGCTCTCCTCCCACTCTAGACCTCAAGCCTCTGACTTCCCATCTTAATTACTCCCTACTGCCGACTTGTTGGACCCCCAGGAAAAGAGGCTGGGGGACAAATCCAGAAAGGAGGATTGCTGGCACTTCGAGAGGACAGAATTTGGAGAAGAAATCTAAAAGCAAGGGAGTTAGGTAGGAAACAGAGCGTGTTCAGATCTCACAAACACCACAGCAAAAGATCTCTACAAACCAGTAACCTACTAATAATGAGAAAGCTTAACCATAAATTCTAAGAGGGAAAGAGAAGAAAGCCTAACCAAGAATAGAAGGACCCAAGAGAGGGAAGGAAAAACTGGCTATGAAGGAGAAGAGATAAGACAGGGGAAGTATAAGGGGTCAAGGAAGAAGGGAGAAAGTAGGGGGTGAGAGAATAGGTGAGTAGGAAGAAGGGCAGGAAAAATGATCAGGAGGAGAAAGTTGAAAGAGAAGTGGGGAGAGGAAGAAGAAGCAGGACCATGGAAAAACTAGGGTGAGGAGGGAAGTCCAAAATAATCTAGGTAGGTTAGTACCAGGCCTGACATGTGTTTCTCGGTCCCAGATAATCAAGAAGGAAGGAATTATAGTGATTAAGTCATTACACAGCCCCAAGGCTCATCATTAACTTGGCAGAGAAAGGAAGAGGCTCCAGAGAAGACAGCCTAGTTTAAAGCAGCTTTAAACACAATACTGAAGCGGGCAGTTTAGAGAAAAACCATTAACATACCTTGACCTGTTTCTTCAGAACGCCACTCCCTACATCCAACATTAGCATTCTCAGCCTCTGCCTTACCAGTGAAGTCACTGGGTCCTTAGCAAACAAGCAAGATGCATCCAAAAGGCTAGCTGGAAGACAGATTACCAAGGTCTGCTTCCCAATTTTGCCTCTGTCTCCTACAGCGTAAGGGGACATTCCTGAGACTCACTCCAGGGTTTTCACCTGCTCATCTTTCCAAGGCACTTTGACAGCCTGGGACAGCCAGAGTTACAAACAAGGTATCAAGCCCTTCGTTGCACAGATAAAGAAACTGAGGCCCACAAAGGCTGTCTGAACCAGTATCAGCCCCCAGTTCACTTAGTAGCTCACTTATAACATGCCCCCTTCCCCCACTCAGGACCCGAGAGAAAAGCTCCACAGTCCCAGCAGGCGAGCAGCTAAGCCAAGGCAGAGGTAAGGATCACCAGGCCACCAAGCAAAAGGGTAGTAGAAAATGAACGCGGATCCCGCGGCAGAGCAGTTCCCCAAAAGCGCAGCTTCCCCTTCACACCCCTCCCCGGCCAGAGCTCTGATGCCAGTGTAGGCCTAACCCTGGGTAGGATCATCTGAGGGTTCCACCCTCTGCCCCTTCTCTCATTTAGGGCCTCTTAAAAGAAGGGGAACGTAAGGAGGCTTAAAATTCCGGCCTCCCCGGAAGCTGGCGGAGACCCCCGGAGCACGCCCAGCTGGGCGCGGCCCAGGCAGGGCTGGCATTACCTGGTGGGGGGCGCCGGCCCCGGCATCCCTGGGGACTGCTTTCGTCGCAGAACCGCAGCTCTCCTGGCCAGCACGGCCGCGCAACACCGCGTCTCCACCGGCTCCGCTCGACTCGGCTGGGCCAGACTCCCGGCAACTGAGCCGCCCCAGCTCCCGCGGTGCAGCACGCTCGCGCCCTCGCAGAGCGGCAGCGAAGGCGCCGCGTCGGGGTTGGCGAAGCAGAAGGGGCGGGGGAAAAAGGGAGAGAAGGAGGCGGGAGGAAGTACCTTCCCACTCTTCAGCTATTCTCCGCTACCCGGTCTCCCAAACCAAACCCATTGCCGTCGATTCGATTCCGACTCCAGCAGGAGATAATTTCCCGCCGGAACCGGGCTTTCCAGGGCCTGTCAGCGTCCTGGGCGAGCCCCAGAGTCAAGGCAGAGAACCAGAGCTCCTCTGCGTCTTAGTTTCTGCGGTTGGCTCTGGCTCTGCACGAAGTCCTTTTCCAGGACTTCTGAAGTCAGACCTCCTATGATTTCTATCAGATTAGGCTTCAGTGAAAGCGATTCCCCACCCTCCCCTACTGTGTCCCACACCCCCAAAAGGTGCCAGGTTCTAATTCTCGTGCCCCAGGGAAAACACTAGGTAGGCCCTTATAGCTATTCCAAAGCAAAGTAAGCTCAGCAGCAGCTACCATTTAAGTGCTAATTGTATACCAGGTGCTTTACAAATATTATGTCTATCTCACATCAACCTTATGAAGAGGTACCATACTAATTCACATAAAACAAAACTGAGGTCCAGGGAGAACGTGGTTTCTTAAGCACCTACTGTGTCTCAGACACTGTGATGAGCCCTGAGCTGAACAGAACACACTGCAGGCACAACACATTCCAAATGCTCCCTGTTGTTTTTTTATTGTCATCTAATTGACTCATAGGGTTGCTATGAGTCAGAATCCACTTGAGGACAACTGGTTTGTTTGGTTTTTTTTAGTTGATTCAGACTCATGGTGACCCAAAATGTGTAGAGTAGAACTGCACTCCATAGGGTTTTCAAGGCTGTGACTTTTTGGAAGCAGATCCTCAGGCCTGTCTTCCAAGGCGCCTCTGGGTGGGTTTGAACCACCAACCTTTCAGTTAGTAGCCCAGTGCTTAACCATTTGTGCCACCCAGGGGCTCCTCAAATGCTCCCTGTTGTTGTTGTTATGTGCCATCGAGTAGGTTCTGACTCATAGCCACCCTACAGGACAGAGTAGAACTGCCCCATAGGGTTTCCAACGAGCGGCTGGTGGATTTGAACTGCTGACCTTTCAGTTAACAGCCAAGCTCTTAACCATTGCGCCACCAGGGCTCCAAATGCTTCCTAGGAGGTAGTATTATCTCACAGCCTGGCTTCCTCCATCTTCCCCTACCCCTTGAGGGAGATGGGAGGAGTCAGATTATGCAGGGTCTCTTCCAGGTCACAATTAGGAGTTTGGATTTTGTTATAAATTCAATAGGAAGGCTTTGGAAGATTTTGTAAAGCAAAATGACAAGATTTAATTTACGTTTTTAAAAGATCACTGACTACTGAATGAAGAATGGAGACTGGGGGAAGAATGGAAACAGGAAAACAATTAAGTAGATTCTTTCAGAGTTGCGGGCAAAAGATGATGGTAATGATTTGAACTAATAGAAGATGAGATGAAAAGAAACAACATCTAATAAAGATACAGTTCGCAAGGAGAAGCAGCACAACTTGGTGATGGGTGAGAGATGGCAGTGACTTCCCCAAGACTACACAGCTGGTAAATGGCTGAGTCATCTGAACCCTGGTTTGACTCCTAAGCCTGTGCTTTAGTTCTCTGTGCCATGTTGTCAGTCATCTCTATATCAACCACTGTTGATACAGACATAAAATCACTCTGTTAAATTGCTATAAAAGTTTTCTAAACACTTTCAATTTCTGTGCTTACTGCACAGCAGACTGGGACCAGTTTAGACCCTACTTTGAGTAGTGGTGATCTGGGGAACCCTCCACTAAACATAGTCCTGTTTGCAATGACTCTCTTACTACCTGGTACCCTGAGAAGAACACGATACTGTAAGCAAAGTCTGTCCACTACAGAACATAGTGGGAATATCATCTCCTTTAAGTACTTACTACTTCCAATAATTCAGTCTAAAGATGCATTAGCTTTTTACCCACTGAAATACCTTTGGCTGACATTGAGCTTAAGCAGCCAAAACCATCAGTCTGTTTCTTAAGAATAACATCATGCTAGGTCTCCTCCAGCCTTCCCATATGTCACCATTTCTTTGAAATTTAAAATGCAGGACTTTACTGTCATCCTCATTCAATTTCATCATGTTAGCTTCAGCCCATACTTTCAAGCTTTCTCTTTGCTATCTAGCATATTATTTTTCCCTTGCAGCCTTTGTTACTTTCAAATCTAATGTGTATGCCATGTCTTCAAACATTTATCAAACATCTACCATGTGCCCTTGCCTGTGCTAGGTTTTGGAGATTAAAGGATTAAAGATGACCTAGAAATGTCCTGGAATCCCTGGATGGTACAAACAGTTAATGCATTCAGCTGCTAAACCAAAGGTTGGAGGTTCAATTCCACCCAGAGGCACCTTAGAAGAAAAGGCCTAGTGATTTACTTCCCAAAAATCAGTCATTAAAAACACTATGAAACACAGTTCTACTCTGACACACATGGGATCACCATAAATTGAAATTGACTCAATGGCAACTGGATAGAAATGGCCTGTGTCTCTAGGAAATCACCACTAATAGGGGAAACTGCTACATATAAACTGTAAAAAGTGCTGCATTAGAAAACTTAAGCAAAGAAAATAAATAAGACAGAGTAGAAGAAACAATGAAACATCTATCTTTCCATGTTTTCAGCAGGAAAGATCAAATTCAGGCATCTTCTATTTTAGACTTAGTTCTCAAAAACCAAATGCTGCAGATGGAGGAAGGAGGAAGGGGGAGTCATGGCTTAGGGGACGCTGAGTTTCTGTTAAGGGTGATAGAAAAATTTGGAAATGGATAGTAGTGATGGTTGTACAACATGATGGATATAATTAATGTCACTGAACCGTACATGTAAAAAATGTTGAAATGGCAAATGTTTTGTTATATATATATTTTACCACAGTAAAACAAAATTGAGGCAAGGGGCCAAAATGCTGGTTTGGTTATAGAAGGCTGACTAGCTTGCTTATCCCACTCTTTCTTTCAGTGGTTGGTGGTCCTATAAGAAGCTTGACTATGCTTAGCTCCTTCTTATGAAAGACATGAAGTTACAGTATAATAGTAAAATGCCAGCAGCTTTATTTATTACTGAGGGCTAATAAGCTTATAATTAAGAAAGAAACTGTTAAAGAAATGAAAAAAGCAGAATCAAATAGGGTAGAAGGGACCATAAGAAAGAAATTAAATCCTAGAAACATCAAATGATTTGCCTAAGCTTACCCAACAAGTTAGCAGTTAACTTGTTTCAAGTGCAGTAACTCCTTGCATTTGTATAGCCCTTTGGTTTACAAAGTAAATAATTCACAAATTATTCTTCCAAACCACAGACCATGGCCAGCAATGCTTTGTCTATGTAGTTATCTTAGGTCTGACTAGGCCGTTTTAAGTCACTCCCTGGTTTCTGCAGGCATATGAGTTTGCAAGCCCTGGTAACACTATAAAGGCTAATGATCAATAATAATAAGTGAATATGGTTTATTTAGACACTACAGCTTTCAAACTAAGGGCTGATGTATGACTACTGTGATTGTAGTGCCTGTAGTGTTTGAAAATGATTGTTTTTATTTTATTCTTTTGTAGCTACAAATAATTTTAAGAACAACATATTTATTGAATGATAATTATAATCTTCTGACATCACCAGTTAAACGTAGTACTAAGTCAGTCAATGATGACGATTTTGGTTTTAAAACAGTCATCTAATATGCCATTCTTTCTTATAGCAATTAGACGGCAGGGCCAATTGCCTATTAAGGCCTCTGTAAGAAATAAGGTGGAGAATAAAATAAATAATAATAGCTTACAAAATACAGTCATTAAGGAAATAAAGCAAAAGAGGAACAGAAATGCAAAAAAAAAAAAAAAGTAGAATGTACCTAGTGGTAGTCAGTCATAAAGCAACTAATCATAAATCAAAATAGATTCGAAGTTCAAACAAGGCAAAGAAGCATAGAGAAGGGAGAGATTAATTACATCTGTAGAACTAGAGAAAGTCATGGAAGAGGCAGTATTTGGGCTGAGTATTGAAGAAGGAATAGAATTTTCCTAGTTAAGAGGTATTAAGATTGAGGATAGGATAGAGAATTCCTGACTGAGGGAACCACAAAAGCAAAGGCCCAAAGGATGAAAAAGCATGAGCTCTGTTTGTTGTTGTTGAGCTCTGTTCAGGAAACAGTAAACAATCCAGTCATTCAAGGAAATAGTACCCTTCTCAACTGTTCGATTACCATTTACTGAACATGTTCTATGTGCCACACACAGTGCTAGTCACTGGGTATGAAAAGATGAGAAGACCTAATACTTACCCTTAAGAACCAAAACATTTCTCAGGACAATAGGAGACAATGCCATATCACTGACAGTCAGATTTAGCAGGTTCAAAATCTTTTCCTCCTACAGTTTTTCCCCTCTCAATAAATGGCAACTCTACTCTTTTAGTTTCTCAAGCCAAAAATCTTTGATTCATCTTTGACTCCACTTTTTTCCTCAATCCACATCAAATATACCAGCAAATCCTGTCAAAACTACCTTCAAAATGTATCTACAATCCAATCACTTGTCA